AACCGCGTAAGCGAAGATTCGCAGTTAAAACGAGAGATAACATTATACACTGTCCTCACCAGCATCACCATTCTTAGTTGCCTGTTTCATACCTGTGTTACTTCGAATGTTAGGATTCCTACGAGTTCCCATGTATATTGTGCTTAGTGTCTTGCGGTCGTGTCTATTGCATATTGTCAGCATCAGTTCTATTATTCTAATTGGTCATCTTCCTTGTTGGAACATGCCAAAGTTTCAACGCGCTTTGATTTATGCTTGGTGAGGTTTTTGCAATAGTTTTTAGCTAAATAATAGATTTAAAAATAAAGTTGTATCCATCCACCTTACCTTCTTCTTTTTCTGCTAATTACTCTAACATTCAATTATTTTTTATTTATTAGTTTTATGCTAATTTACGATTATTTATTTAGTTTTCCTTCGTTTATATTTATTTATTTGCGGCCCTCGATAGAGCAACAAAATCCCCGATAATGATCCGGCCCCGTAGCGAAAATGTTTGGAGGCCCCTGGTCGGTGTTGAGAGCGGTTGGACCGAGAGGAAGCTTGGAAGCTAACAGGGCGTAAAAGCAGTGATCACTCAATGGCTACGTTGACAACCTTGTGTAAAAAAAAAAAACAATAAATCACGAATACGACGTGTATAAAACAATTAACAATTCCGGTTACTGAAATTACCTTTACAGATGTAATACCACTTGCCCGTAAAATATATATCGTAGATAAACCGTCTTTCAACTAGGGATGTGCGAATACCGGTTCGCATCGGATCGCGCCGTGTCATCCTTATAACTTTAACACTGTTAAGAAACCCTGCTGTCGTGGCTTTCCGTTCCTCTGTGAAGTTTATGAATGACCCCGTGCTGTTCCACTCAAGCCGGTATTCGCACACCCCTGCTTTCAGAACGTTCAATAGATGATGACGCAGTACGGTAAAAAATACAATTCCAGACTACGCAAGCACGTTGAAGTTTCGCGCGCACCCAAATGGTTGCACGAAGCATGCAGGCGAAGAAAATCGCTTTGTGAAGCGAGATATCGCAGCAAGAGTCATCGGCGAACCCTATGCTGGGCTCAAGTTCGTCTGCTTTTTGCACAGGGGTTGCGATGAGGTCAGCAAGTCAGGCTCTTATTGGCTGATTGGAAAAAATAGTGGGTAGGCTCGAAGGCATCTAGCATCGAGGTCTACCCACTATCCTTTCAATCAAAGCCAATCCGAGCCCGGCGTCGTTCTGACGTCAGCGTAACCCCTGCGCAAGAAGCAGACGACTTGCTCTCCGCGTAAAGAACTTCCTCGTAGCGGTTGTGGACCAACTTTGTACCCCCAGCGGTTTCAAGAAGACATGTCCTCTTGGCGCCCGGTGAAAACACGAAAACCTACTCCATGACGAGTTTTCATACACCCTGCACCCCCAGTCTGCGCGTGTATTCATTCGCCGGGAAGTTCCCAAGAAACCCCCCTCTACGACGGTCCATTTACGTTTGGCAAGAACATCGAAGCTCTGCGCGGTGCTACTGAAAGGACGTCAAGAAACATTTTCCCTAAACCGACTGAAGCCTGCGTCGCACTGCGGAGGCGCAAAAGTTCTGCGCATGCCCAGTGCGACGCCCCGAGCTTCTCTGAAGACCCAACGGGCCCTCTATTCTACAACTCCTCGATGACGAAGTCGTCTTGTGCGAGACTCGCAGACTGGTACAGTACTCATTAGAAGTAATCAAATTAGTCTTAATCGATTACTTCTTGACGTAATTTTGTGATCATTTGACTACATTTATTAAGAAGTCATCGCGAGAGTGATGCCATTACTCATGGAAGTACTAAAATTATACTTGTAACCGCTACCGCTCTTCTCTCCCCCCTTCCCAATGGCGCCCTTTGCATAACTTTTCTACCCGGAGGAATCCTCGAACCAACTCTTCGATAGGAGGATGTGTTACCCAAAATGGGTGGCTGAAGAAGATAAGTAGTTTACAGTTTGGTTACTCTAACCCAATAATGGAGAGTATGAAATCCCTGTTTTCAAACCGACAGAAAAATCTGTAGTTTTAGAAATTTGAAGCAATCGGAAAAGTAACGGTTACTTTTTCGAGTAACGGCCAATCACTTTTCTTTCCAAGCAATCGACTAATATAATTAAATACTTTTTATGTAATTGATTACTCGTCTCTTTCTTTCTTTTTTTTTTTTGCGCAAAAACGGTTCCCTAAAACTCTCTACTCTCTTGGACAGTTTCCTTTCTTTTCTTAATAATGTCCACAAAATACGTTAAGTATCGTCATACCGGTCTGCACACCCTAGGGTGCGCAAAGAGATCGTGTGTAAATAAACAAAGATACGCGTAACTCTAAGCAGTCGTTCTGATTCAACAAACACGCACGACATCTAGTATGACACATGATGTCTTGGCGCTGGGAACACTAAACGTCCTTCAAAATGGCTATTTCTTTTCTCTTTTTTTATGATTTTGCGAATGGTTGTAGCCACGTTCGGAGTATTCAGATCAACTTGTGGGACGTGTTCTCTGCAAGGCACCTTGCGTCTGTGTACTCAACAAATATGTTTTTATCCACCCAGTCACTGGTAAGGCTGACGCGCGATTAAAAAGAACGTACATACGCAGTGGGCAAAAAAAAATGTAACGAATGCGTAGACGAGAAATGGCACGCGACTCCATTTATATATACTTATCTTTGAAAAGACCCCTGGCTTTTCGCCCGATGAGAAGTGTACGATAAAAGTTGTGCGTACTTCAATTGTTGTCGACATTTTTAGTAGACCTGAGTGGGAAATCTTAATTTAGTGTTGCGATAGTACGTCTCGTTAATAATTTTCCCCCGAGTGGTTGCTCTTTGCTGGTTTCTGAAAACAAAAAGTTCTACAGGGTGTTTGAGAGAAATCTGAACTGTGCTTCGCGCTGCACAAAAATACACTAGGCAACGCTAAAGGCTCAAATTCAAGCCTACGGCGTCTCTAATTCAGCGTTGCCCGGCTCGTAGAAGAAATTTACAAAACGTTTCAATTAATATTTCTGAAACTCAATGAAAAGCTTTTAATTTCGGAAAGGTTCAATTTTAAACATTTTCGATCTATTTATTGTCATTTAAAATGTCCAAAAATAACGTTTTACTATTTTTTTAAATATCAGGAAGCGTTGAGTCCTGAAACGTTGGCATGCCCCTTGTCCCAATTGATAGCGGTGTACGTAAATTCTTGACGACGTTTCAAATTTCGGCAATGCGCATTTTACTTTTGTGGTGCGAAAAACACGCTTCGAATATTTGCTCAAAGGACTCGTAATTTGAAACGGCTCAACGCCCAATTCTTTTTTCTCACATGTGTTTTTATTTTATTATTATTATTATTATTTCGTCTCACGACCTCGCATATAGAAATATTTTGACGTGCCTAAGGAGCGTGCCTGCCGTCAGAAGATATTCAATCTTTTTTGTAAACATTCCGACGCGCGCAAGGTGAAGCTTCAAGGGCAAACATGGAATATGTGTTCAGCTATACGTATCCGATACGAGACAAGACCAACCTGCAATGTGCACTCGCACTTTCTCAAAGGGGAATACGCTCATATACTATGGAAAAGGTGCAGATGAATGAACCGCGTACTTGATGGAATGAAACAAAGTCTACCAAGCCGCCGAAAGACAAAATCCCGGCTCCGCCAAAAATTTTGTCTTTAGACGGCATCGTAGACTGCTTCATTCGATCAAGCACGGTACATTTATCTGCATATTTTCAATTATTTGCTTTTTGGGAACCACGTACAATGACGAAAGTGCCCTCTCATATAATATTATAAAGATATATATATATATATATATATATATATATATATATATACAAGTCAATATCGTTTCCGTGACTAAAGAAGGTCGTACCTTAATGACACTGTTATCAAGCTCATTTTCAAAGCTTCGGTAATAACTGAAGTTCTGTGTTTTCGGCAGAGACCGATAAAGCCCGAAATGTAACCCCCGAGCCGGTTTAATCAAAATCAGTGAGAACCGAAAAACCTCGACTACCCTTAAATAAAAAAAGGCTTCACAAAAAAACAAAGAAAAAAAAAGCTTGAACTACCGTTTTTTGCGATGTCCCGGAACATAGCCTGCAATGAACTGCCCGCTAGGGTGCTTCTTCCTTTGCGACCACCCTTTGTTGTATTTCCAGCCCTCTTTGGTACCAAACGTTCTTTAAGTATTAGAATAGCACCTGTGTTTTCCGAAAGATGGGAAATCCCCCGCCCGTGTCCTGCTTTTTTCAACAAAGCCCACCAAAAAACGCTGAGGTTTCGTCCGCTACCGTAAAAAACACCGAAAAACACCGAATCTATGAAACAATAAACCCCGAAGGAAAACCCCGAATTCGAGATAAAAAAACGGAAACACTAGACCGTAGCAATAACGGTAAAAAGTTATTGTGTTATTGAACTTCAACAAAATGCTCAGATCAAAAATTAATAAAAAAAAGGATTTCTGACTGGTTTGAAACTCGCGTCATATTTTTTTTTCGCCAGCTTAGCTGGGTAAACACATCGCCAATTTTTGGTGTAAACTTCACACGTTTGAACATAATGCGCAGCTCGTAAAGGAGCTTTACAACCTGTTAGAACTGTCTGGGCAGCGCCGGCTACTTAGTGATTCCAGGCTACTCCATTGAAGTTTATTAGATATCAACGTGTTTATCTAGAGAAGAGCACTCAAGTTGTGCAATAGGAAGTAGTGTTCTTCATAACTGCTTGTAAATGTACACAGCACGCGCGACACAGTTTGTGCGAACAAACCATCGCCAGTTTTCTTTCTTTTTTTTCTTTTCTCATATACTTAAGGACTGTCATCAAAATTACGATAATGGTGGAAAGCGCTCAGCTGGGGTACTAACCAATAAGTAGCCAATTTTGATTCCCGCCAATACCCTTTCGAGAAGAAAAAAAAATACACGAAAAAGCATCGTAGTTGTGTTTGGGCTAACAAGCATGCAGAAAGAAACTCACCTCCGCCGTGCACGAAGCAGAAGTAGGGAAACCTCCAAATATTCCCGAGTCCCACGGCCTCCCTGGAACATCCGGCCACCAGGTCCAGATAGTGCAACCAGCGGGACTCGGACACTTTCTTCTTGGGCAACTCGGTCACGTGCTCCTCGTCCGACGAACTGTCGTAGTCCTCTTCGTGGACCTTGGAGAACGTGGGACGCGCGATCTCCTGCGGTCTCAACTCCGGCACGGATCGGGAGAGCCTCCGGGACACCCTGGCCGCCAGGCTGTTGGGTTCTTCGCCGAACGAGAACGACCGCAGGTACCTGGCGGCTTCTTCGAATCCTTTCGGCGTGCCGGGCACGTCCGCGGTCGTCGGAGGCACCACCGGCTGGAACACCAGGGTGGTCGGAGTGCCCGGCGGCTGGTCCGGGCTGCTGACCATCTTGGGTATCCCCGGTACCAGGCCGGCGGACGTCGGGATCAGGATGATGGGACCGAAGGTATCGTAGTCGCCCTTGCCGAGCGTGTACGCCGTCGGTGCTTGACCGGGACTAGACGAATACATGGTCACGTTCTGCATGATGACAGTCGGTCTCGGTAGAGTCCTCGCCGGTTCGCTGTTCGCACGTGTCGGATTACGTTAAAAATTTTGAATGCAGGAGCGTCATTGCCGTCGTCGTCGCCGCCGCTCCCTCGCTCTTGACCTTCTTGTTCCGACAGAGTTTGCTCGTGGAGGACAGTGCGCTTCGATGCGCGCGATTTCGAAAACGAGCCTCCCTCTCGCTGCGGTAGCGGCGGTCTGGCGCGGGTTACAGGTGCGCTCCCGTCTGCTTCTGGCAAGCGGCGCTCGCGCTGGGACGGGGCGCGCTCCTCGCCTGGACAATGATAACGGGCTTGCGGGGACAGCGACAGATGGCGGCACGCGCTGCTCCGCTTCGAGGGACGTCGTGACTGTCGACGAGTGGCTTGAGATCTCTGTTTGAGTGTTCCATTGCTCCTCTCTGTAGTGTAGCCAGAATTATTTTTTTTTCAAGAAAGATAGAAAACGTTTCTCTCCCCCCCCCCCCTCTTTTTTTTCTGGTTACGTCACTGTTGTTTTTTTTTTTCGGTGCATGAACCACTACTTCACAGCACAAAAGAACACATTTTGCCAACTCGTCGTCAAGAAAGGCAGGGCAATCTGCTGCTACGATGCACTGACCTCTTTCAACTTGAATGAGCGAACGCTGGAAAGGAGGCGAGTGGGCTCGTCTCCTCTCTCGCCCGCTCTCTGTAGCCTTCGCTCTGCTGAAATGGAGAAAGCTGATGGCTTTACGGGAGGAGCTTGTTCTGTTTTTTTAGCCTGCAACAGAGTACAGGACACTTCGCCCAAACTCTAAAAGGAACAGTGTTTCTTTCACGCGGGAGTCCTGTTTACCTAATATCGTTAATTTAAGGCCCCAGTAACCGGCTCGTGCATCATACAAAATCATGGCGTTTCCTTCAGACACCATGATAGAATTATGTTATTCGAAGAATGTTTGCTTCGTACACACGTGTGCTTCGAACACGTCTGCAGAAAGGTTTTTTCGTACGCCCAATCTGGCGTGACCGTCGTGCAAGGAAGAAACCGGTTTAAGACACTGTATGCAGCCTGTCTTTTGTATGATGCATTAGCGGTGCGACCGCGGCTTTTAACCGGGTATGCTTATTTTCCCCTTGAAAGACACGAAATCTATCTGGATTAAGAATTCACAAAATGAAAACATTACACGAACCACCCCCCCCCTGCCAAAGCTCATTGTTGTAGGCAGCGGAACGGATAGTTTGGCTGAAATTTCCTTTTTTTATTTTTTTTTGTCACCCCCTGATTAGTTGAGGCGCGTGTCCCGAACGTGACAAGGCCAACCTCACTTATGTAAGGGCTTCCTCCTCCAGAGGTGTCAGGAAATCCCAGATAAAGATCGAAGTCGCAACACGGAGGTGCAATATAGACTGGCACAAAAGCAGATAGTTGGTAGGAACATTCAGTTGTGGACGACAGAACGAAGAATGAATAGTAGATATCGAACCTGTGATCTTGTGCGCCATTACCATATAGCACCTGTCTTTTAGACGTAGCAGATACTTGCGCACTTGTTCAAAGATGTTCCACGGGAACGCAGAAACGTTGTGATGTATTGTATAAACTTCTGGGGATACGTACACCGAGAGACTCCAATTAATAAAACGAATTCTTTTTCACCTTAAAGTTTAAACTTCCCGGCTAATTTGACAAATTACGCTTCGACAGGTTATTCGAACACCTCTTGCGCTATTGGTTAATTTTGACGAGCTTTTTTTCAAACTATATGTTAAGTTTTTATTGGAACAGTTGTAAATTACAACAGAGTGAACTCGAAGTAATTTCGCAGTAACGAAAAAAATATTGCATGTTGCCTTTAGCAATGCAAAATTGGTTATCTTAAATGCCCGGTCGCAAATATATGGATGCACTATAGCGTCTTTTTTCATGGCGAAATATGTTGGACCTTAGTAATTCATCCGTTTTTGCTGTAGGTACCTGCATTATAAATAGGTCGTAAATTTTCCGGTGTTTATTTATAAGGGAAATCGGCAAAAAGTTGTTCGGTGCTTATTTATTTTAAGATATATGTGTACGTCGGTGGTTCGTTTCGGACGGACGGTAAAAACGGTGATCATTGATAAAAAAAACTCATAGAAAAACTGAGAAATTTTGCCTAAGAGAGGCGGGTTTTGACAAAAACAGTCCTTGTTGGAGCCAAAATTTAAAGAAATTTGTGTTTTGCGGTACTTAATACACTTGGAATATCTTGTATTTTCTTTTTAATTACATATTAAGGAATATATTTCCCTGTTGTATTTATTCAAATATTTATTTATTTATTTAAGCGCCTTACAGGTTCTCTTGTAAAGGACATTCTGTAATGGGGGGGTGAATACAACATTTTGAGATGTTACAAATAAGAACAAGTGCACATAATGGATAACACACAAAATCCAAATGCATAATGAGAAGAAATACAACATTTTGAGAAAAAAATTGCAAATAAGAGCAACAACTGCACATCAAAGTATAGCACACACAAAAACCAGATGCATGAGCAGGAGAAATACAAAACATTTTGAGATATTACAAATATAAACAACTGCCCATTATGTATAACACACACAAAATCCAAGTGCATATTCAGGAGAAATGCAACATATTGAGAAAAAATTGCGAATAAAAGCAACAACTGCGCATCACACAAAAACCAGATGCATGAGCAGGAGAAATAAAAACATTTTGAGATATTACAAGCAGAAACAACTGCACATAATGTATAACACACACAAAGTCCAAGTGCCTAATCAGGAGAAATACAACATTTGGAGATGTTGCAAATAAAAACAACTGCACATAATGGCTAACACACAAAATCCAAGTACACAATCAGAAGAAATACAACCTTTTGAGATGTTACAAATAAGAACGACTGTACGTAATAGATAACACACACAAAATTCAAGTCTATAATCAGGAGAAATACAACATTTTGTGAAAAATTGCAAATAAGAGCAACAACTGCACATCAAAGTATAGCACATACAAAAATCATATGCATGAGCAGGAGAAATACAAAACATTTTGAGGTATTAGAAATAAGAACGACTGCACATAATGGGTAACACACAAAAAATTTAAGTGCCTAATCAGAAGAAATACAACATTTTGAGAAAAAATTTTCAAATAAGAGGAACAACTTCACATCAAAGCATAGCACACACAAACACCAGATGCATGAGCAGAAGAAATACAAAACATTTTGAGATATTACAAATAGAAACAACTGCACATAATGTATAACACACACAAAGTCCAAGTGCATAATCAGGAGAAATACAACATTTGGAGATGTTGAAAATAAGAACAACTGCACATAATGGCTAACACACACAAAATCCAAGTGCATAATCAGGAGAAATACAACCTTTTGAGATGTTACAAATAAGGACAATTGCACGTAAAGGATAACACACACAAAATTCAAGTTCATAATCAGGAGAAATGCAACATTTTGAGAAAAAATTGCACATAAGGGCAACAACTGCACATCAAAGTATAGCACACACAAAAATCAGATGCATGAGCAGGAGAAATACAAAACATTTTGAGATATTACAAATAAGAACAACTGCACATAATGTGTAAGACACACAAAATTCAAGTGCATGATCAGGAGAAATACGACATTTTGAGATGTTGCAAATTAGAACTGCACATAATAGATAACACACAAAATCCAAGTGCATAATCAGGAGAAATACAACATTTTAGAGAAAATTGCAAATAGGAGTAATAATAGCACATCAAAGAGTAGCACACACAAAAACCAGATGCATGAGCAGGAGAAATACAAAACATTTTGAGATATTACAAATAAGAACACCTGCAAATATTGTATAACACACACAAAATCCAATTACATAATCAGGAGAAATACAGCATTTTGAGATACTACAAATAAGAACTGCACATAATGGATAACACACACATAATCCACGTGCATAATCAGGAGAAATACACCTTTTGAGAGAAAATTGCTAATAGGAGCAACAACTGCACATCGCAGTATAGCACACACAAAAACCAGATGCACGAGTAGGAGAAGTACAAAACATTTTGAGATATATAAGAACAACCACACATAATGTATAACACACACAAAATCCAAGTGCACAATAAGGAGAAATACAACATTTTGAGATGTTACAAATAAGAATAACTGCACAAAATGGACAACACACACAAAATCTAAGCGCATAATCAGGAGAAATATAGCATTTCGAGAAAAAAAATTGCAAATAAGAGCAACAACTGCACATCAAAGTATAGCCCACACAAAAACCAGATGCATGAGCAGGAGAAATACAAAACATTTTGAGATATATAAGAACAACTGCACATAATGTATAACAGACACAAAATCCAAGTGAATAATCAGGAGAAATGCAACAGTTTGAGATATTACAAATAAGAACAACTGCACATAATGGGTAACACACACAAAATCCAAGTGCATAATCAGAAGAATTAAAACACTTCGAGAAAAAATTGCAAATGAGAGCAACAACTGCGCATCAAAGTATAGCACACGCAGAAACCAGATGCATGAGGAGGAGAAATACGAAACATTCTTATTTCTCCTCCCCATGTTTCTGGTTTTTCTGGGTGGCGATGTCGTTAGGAGGTGCATTCCGACAGACCACCGTCCTGGGGAAAAACGAATAGAAAAATGAAGAGTTGCAAGTGTAGCGGTCAATTTTGCGAGAGTGATTTAGACGAGGTGTAACCAATGATGTATGGGTTAGCAGACCTAGGGAGAGATGAGGTGAGCAATAAAAGCGATGAAGGAGGCACAATTAAGAAAGTTTGTGCCTTAAGCCAAATTCTGGAAAGTTGGCTTTTTGGTTTAAAATGGCGATGCTTGAAAGACGTTGAATAATCAGAAAGAATCAAATACGTCACATGGTTTTGGAAAGCTTCTAGTTATTTAAGTTATTTAATATGATAGGCTTGATAAGGATTCCAGATGCTTGATGCATACTCATATTTTGGTCGAATAATTAAAAGATATGCCGTCTTTTTCTTTTTTTATATTGAGGAGGAACAAGAAGAAGGTTATGTCTTACGTAGCCAAGAGAACGATTACAACACGACAGCAGTGATCAAATATGACATTTCCACGAAAGATGCATGTCGACATGAGGACCAGGGTATTATAGGATGTAACCGAATAATCCAGGTTAGATTTAATTAGGTAAAATGTGTAAAAAGAGGTTTCTGTTCAAACAATGAAA